CAGCTCCACCTCATACCTTTTACCCTTTCCATAAGCTTAAATAGTCTTGATCGCGAGGGTGTGAGATTGCTGAGTCCCCGTGACTCACAGTTACTTCCAAAACCAGTTTGCAGGTGCTGATATTATCGAGCAGGTGACACAACCAAGCTCAAGGAGGAGCTCGATGAAGATCTTGTCCTTTGTGTTGTTTCATTCTAGTTGATCAGTAGTGGAGCCCAGTCGGGACGATCGGGGATCTGTGTAGCATTTGGGGTAGTCTTCTTTTATTTTGGTTCCATAGTCGGACCTTGATTGTATCTGGATGATGTAATGCTTTATTCATGTATTGTGTGAAGTGGCGATTGTAAGCCAACTATGTATCCCTTTTCCTTTATGTATTACATGGGGTGTTTGCGAAGATTACCTCACTTGCGACATTGCTTTCAATGCGGTTATGCCTCTAAGTCGTGCTTCGACACGTGGGAGATATAGCCGCATCGAGGGTGTTACACATCATGACTTGGTATCTAGATAAAGCAGCCACATTTAGAAAAGACTAAGTTCATCAGGCAACTCATGTGTACTCCAAGTCTGAACAACTCCACAATTTTCCTTGGGCACCTAGGCAGTAGCAGAGGAGAAAATACGCACATGCACGCTCGCACACGCACACACACAGTCATGTGCCTCATAATCCCAGCGAGGAAACCTGACCAGTTCCACCCGCTCCACTCTACGATCGCACTAAGGAATTTCACCCGAGGATAGAAAAATCTTGACTCCACCTCTATGACACAAACTTAATTAAAGTTATCTAAAACCTTTAAATATTTATCAAATAATGGTATTGGTAAATATTTCTGTTCATGAGGATTGGGCAACTGGATACATGGGTTTAGGCAAACTATTTGTTGATTTTGGGCAATTGGATACTTGGTTTTAGGCAACTATATGGTTGATTGTGGACAACTATGAAATCTGAACAAGGGATAAAGAACGTACAAATGTTCATTAGGGTTCAAGGGTAAATTTAATCCCCCAAACCACTTCATGGTTTACTTCACCGTTTTAGTTACGTCCCCATTACCAACTCCACCCTGCTCCATCTCTATGATTATTCACCAAGTATTTATGATCATACCACGGATCCCACCCCCAGGAGATGAAATTCTTGATGCGTCTCTATTACACAAAAGGTATCTAAAACCTTTACATATAATCCAAATTGTGGTCTTGGTAATGTTTCTGTTCATGAGGATTGGGCAACTGGATACATGGTTCTAGGCAACTGTATAGCTGATTGTGGGCAACTATGAGTCTATGACACCTGAAAAGGGATAAAGAACATACACATGTTTGCTTTTTAGGGGTTCAAAGATAAACTTGATCTCATACAAAACATCATGGTTTTATTTATGTCCCCATAACCAGCTCCACCCCGCCACCTTCTATGATCATTCGCCAAGTGTTCACGATCATACCAAGGGATCCCAGCCGAAGAGAAGAAACTCTTGACACGCCACTATGACACAAACTTAATTGAAAGGTATATAAAACCTTTAGAAGTTGGCCAAATCGTGGTCTTTTGGTAATGTTTCTGTTCATGTGGATTAGGCAATGGGATACATGATTTTAGGCAACTGTATGGTTAATTATGGGCAATTATATTATCTTTCATGTATTGTGCATAAAAAAGGGATGCAAACTATGTAGGGCAACTCAGAGTATTCAGTCTAGCACAAGTTAACAATGCAGAAGTTAAAAAAACGATGTATCGGCTTTGCATAAGTAAAAAAAACTACAACCAACAACTCAATCCACGACTCCGTGCACTATGTCTTCATTTTTGAGCAACTCTTATATCACCATGCAGCAACTACTATACTGATTCCAAGGTATGCAAAACATATGCACACATTTTAAGAAACATCACGCCCATGAGACTACCAGCCTTTATTTAGGGCTGATGGAACAGATATCAACATGGCATTGTGTTTGTTCCATCGAGACATCTTAAAAGGTCCTTTGTAATTTCAGTAAGAATTGGTGTGTATTGACTGGTGACCGTGCACAACTTATATCTGAATCTAGTCCAGCACTAATCTCAGCCAAAATAGTTGTGGATTATCTGCTACCTTCGCTGAGAAGAGAAGCTAAAGAAAACTATAGTTGTACATGGAATTTCCTGATTGATTTTGAGCAGCTCTTATGCCGCTGTGCATCAGCTACTAATCCCAGTTGTTGCAACATACATATTTCTTTATAGAAACGAACATAATAGCTGCCCAAGATAGTTAGTTAGTTAGCTACCTCATCCATCCATCGACATCCTACTAATCCTACTACATAGTAGTACCAACCAACAGTCTACAGACTGAAATATTCAGAAATTTAAACTGAATTTTCAATATACACTTTGATCCTTACCAACCACAAAACTTGCATCATGTGAAGAGAAGAAAAAAGATACAGTACGAGAGCAGCACTGAATCTAGTCCATCATGTCATCCGCTTATGTCTGAATCTCTGAAGCTAGTCCATCACCCATCTCACATAAATAATCACCTATCTGCTACCTTGACTGATTTTGAGCAACTCTTTGCTGATGTGTAGCAACTACAACGCCCATGTTCTCTTCCTCCCTCCCCTGAGCCCCAAGAAGCTGAGAGTCGCAACACCGCCATCCAGGAGTTGGGGAAAACCAGCAACGTCTCAACGGACGAGCGCTACCCCACCCACCAACTCCCCGTCCAGCCGCCGTCGACCAGTTTGGTGGCACTTAACCCGTCCGGGACCGCCAATGAGTATGAAGTAGTACTACTACAAGTGAGGTAGGGGGGTGGAGAACTGTACCATGGGAAAGGGCAGCGGGCGCACCCGGCGCCGGCACCGCTTGCGGCGCACGCGTCGGCGGTGGCGCTATCGATGCTGCCGACGGTCCTGCTTGTGCTTGTGGCGGCGCGACCGGAGGCAGTGGGCGGGGCCCGGCGCAGGCGCCTCAACAGACTGCACCAGCCGGAGATGCGATGCGGCTGCTTCGCTGCTACAAGAGCTTCTAGGCGTGGTTGGACACCTGCTCCGACCGCCACCGCATCGTCGAGGACGGGAACGGCAGGGGAGCTGCAGGAGGGTTGCAGGCCGACCCTAGCTCCAGTTCCTAGAAAGAGGGGGAGGAGACGGTAGCGCTGCTGCTCCGGCTCCCAGGCCGACCTGTTGTCGAGCTCCTCCGGCGCGCCGCCTCCGCCACGACCGCCTGGGCGTCGATGCTGGAGCTCCTCTGTTTCGCCTGAGAGACGAGGAAAAGGGCGCCGGTCGGGATAAGGCATTTTTTCTAAGAAAGATAACGAAGCGGTTGGCTGGATTCTACGAGCAGTGCTACGATAAAACACCAACGATTCACGCACGACAGTGAAATCCAGCCACGCATGCAGGTGTACAGGGAGCAGTGCTACATAGACGATAGTTTTCTGCACGATTCATGCACGACGGACAGAATCGTTCAAAAATCGTGCAATGCGTGGTAGATTTGTAAGACAGAACGATCCAATGGACGATTCTGTCCGTCGTGCATGAATCGTGCAGAAAACTATCGTCTATGTAGCACTGCTCGACGCTCGTGTACAGGGGAGCAACTGATCTTGTCGGTTAGCACGTGCGCTCAGTGCGACAAAATCGTGCAGCTACACGATTAAGCATTTGGGAAAAAAATATGGGAGCAAATTGGCATATGTTTCCAGCATATTTTTTTACAACTAAAAAGCACCCATGTAGCATTCCATCACAAAACAATAATGATTCCAAACATTTAAAAATTCCCATCATAAATTTCTTTGGATAGATTCATAAGTTGTTTGCAACAAAATTATTAAAATCAATAACAATTTTCAACACTAAAAAACTCCTCATGGAGAATATCTTTGAAGCAAATTTTAGCACGAGAAACTACGGAATCACCAAACACTTACCGCAAACCAAAAGTATCTTGGTTGCAGCAGCTCGGTTCGCAGGCGCCGCCCTCGTCGTTGATGCTCGCTGCACAGGGTCGCACGAACGACGGCAACCAGTCAACGACGTTTAATGAATGTGTCAAAAACATCGCCGGTCGTAGCAAAAACCAACGACGGTTGTAGCAAAATTCGCCATTGCTGTCGTCCCGAGTTGCATCTTTACCATGAATTGATGTAGTAAAAAACCTCACCGGTAGTAGTAAAAACCAATGATGATTGCAGAAGAAGTCGTCGTCGCCGCCGTCCCTGGTCGCATCTCTGCCATCAATGGATGTAGCAAAAACTGACGCCAGTTGCAGCAAAAAGCCATATACACCATCGTGGATCGTAGCTCTGCCATGAATGGATGTAGCAAAACTTGTCGCTGGTTTCAACACGCTGTGACGATCGTTCTAGCATGCGGCCACCGTGGTCATAGCTCGCTGGTGGCAATTCCGTGGATGCAGCTTCATCGAGCTGCGGTTGCAGCTCCTTTCCCCACCCCCACGTTGGAGCTTCGCGAGCAGTGGTGGGGATAAGGGGGGAAAAAGCAGTCGTGATGGGCCAAGAGCACGTGATGGGCCGAGGAAAAAAACCCAACAATCCAAATCCTGGACCGAGAGACGTGTTGGCGGTATATATGGCTGCGTGATCGATCCGGAGACGAGCTTCGGCCGGTCTGCCCGCACACAACGTTTCTCTTCTTTTTATTGAGGAAAAAAGCAGTCCCTCTCTCTCTCTCAGAAAAAAAGGGAAAAAAGAAGTCCAGATTTGAATCGGAATCAGAGTTGGATCAGGCCACACAGTTTGCGTCGCCCTTATATAAGTCTATTGTAATCGGCTGTGGATATTTCTCTATTTGCTTGCACCTAGTGCACGGGATCCTCTTATAGTTGGGAAACGCATCATTGTATTCTTCCGCCCAAAAAGCAGGTATGCTTATGTTTCTCTCTAGTTTGCTGCACCTTTAACAAATTGTTGGCTGCCAAAGTGTAAACTCAACTGTAGATCGTTTCTCGTTAATCAGGTCTCTATATGGAGAAGCAGGGAAACATCGGCTACATAAGTTCGATGAGGTTAGTAACTTCAGGCACAACTTTATTGTAGGCAAAAAAAGGTAGATGATGCCGTAACTTTTCACCTATCTCTAAGAAAGGTATTATCAGTTGCAACTTCATATTACTAACGAGGGTGTGACAAAGGCATATCTAGATCTCCCGCAAGAAAATGACATATCTAGATGTGCCCTAATTATTACACATCTAAATGACTCAATCAAATATAAAAAAAGCACGTATGAATCTTCACGTAAAAGCAATGATATGAGACATAAATATGCAATACTTAGGGGCTTAGGGCAGATATAGATGCGTTGTTGTTACAGTTTTGTTAAAGCACGTCTAGATGTGTTATAAGTATTGCACATCTAAATTCTATGACACTGATCTTACGATGAGATTTGCACGGATATTTTTTCTTTTTCTTTTTATGCTTAATTGAGTCACTTAGATGTGTAATGACTAGGGCACATCGACAGATAATTACTAAGTCCGTCTTGATCTATTGGTCCCCTTGTATTTTAGAATAAATCTTGGTAATATATTTGACTAGCAAAAATAAATTATGCGCCATAAAAATCATTTTGTTAGAATCATATTAGAAAAGGTTTTCAATGATACTATTTTATAGCATACTTTGAAAATTGTTCAAAGTGCACACCTGTAGTCTGCAAGTTTTGAAAACTGTGAATGAAAACACCAATTCCTTGCCAAAAAAAGAACTTCAGTGTAAGTTATCACGAAGTCTATCTATGTAAACTTTGGTTAATAAATAGAATGTGCCCTTACATCAGTTGTGTGAATAGACAAGTTTGGCTGCTTCTTAACTTTTGGTATTCACTTTTGCATAGTATAAAGGAGTATATTTCGACATTTGCCCTTTACATACTCGACCGCATGTCTTAACCGAATATTGTAGCAATATAATTTTTGTGCATGTTTTTTTCTAGATTTTATTTTAAAAAACTCTTAGATGCCATCTATACTTGTGTTTCTGTTTGTTAGTTCCAATGGTTCCTTCCTCATGTTTGGTAGCATGGTTTCACCTCCTTTAGATGATTAAATTTGAAGTCATGGTTATTGTTGCGCAGGGAAGGACGGAGGAGAACAAAGATCAGGATTCGTAATAAAAGTTTCTTGCTTCGACGTCGTAACGAGTATGGCACCTTCACATGGAGTGAAGGCCGTATGACCAAGACCACATCTTTGTACCGTGAAATGTCTGCTCGCGTGTGTCTAAGGTTGGCACTGGACGAGTACTCTGATCTCAAGAGCAAAGGAATGCTTAGGTGGAAGGCTTACAAAAAAAATCGCGTGAGCATCAACACCGCATTACGGACCATCGGGGAGGCCATTATGAGATTAAGAAAACGTCGTGTGGAGGCCGGGCTATTCTACTTGGTGCCACAAGCAGATAGGGCCGCGATACAAGTCCGCACCCACTTATTCAGTATGCCTTTGAAAGAGGCGCTAAGAAAACGACGCCTAGAACTCAAAAAGAGGAAGCAACTCCTGGACGCATACAATAATTCTCAAAAATCTACCGCCTACAGCAACGCCGTCTCCCTAATGCGAGCATCAGTAAAGAGAATTTTGTTCTATACTCTATCCTCCGTTGTATTAGGTTGTGCGATAGTATTCTTTTGAAATATCCGGAAAGGCCATAAATAGTATATGTCGCTTCGGTGCTTGTAGTCGTTGCTAGGTAATTTACGAATCTGGATGTAATTTTTATTTCTGGTGTTCGTTGTACTGTGATGATTAAAGATGAATAGATTGAAAGTTTTTCCGTAAAAAAAGAAGTATCATCAATGCATTTTTTGTTCCAGCAACCAAAAATATATATAATTTTGTTAGGTAGTGACCTATGATAATGATGTTTGGTTGGACCGAGTTCACATGTTTTACCATTTTTTGAGTGTCTTTGCATAATCCACACAAATGATATTGCATTCTAACTTATGAAATTAAAATATACTTTCATCCTTATAACCAGTGTAGTGTTATTATTTAGTGATTTCAGAATTTGTTCAAGAGTGTAACTTGAACTTCGCACAAGAAAATAAACCTTATAACTTGATTTGAAAAACATGAAGACAAGATACACACAACATTTTTTGCGTCACATCGGAGCAACCTAAGCCTAATTAAACGCCCTCACAGGAAACATTTTTGCTCATGCTCACCAACTCAAGGGCAGTTGCGGGGTGCAAGGTAAAGGCGTACCACATGATTGATCTCTCAGAGCACGGGAGAGGCTACATTGAAGGTGCTCATCCCATCCGCCATCTACCATGACACTCGTAGTTGTTGTCGTTGCGTATGTTGCGCCGGTGATCATCATGCCGATCTGGATGATCATCTCACCGAGGAGGTGGTTCATTAGCTGCACGGCCCCTCCCCATCCATGACACCCATCTCCTAGTCAAAGTCGATGAAGTTAGGAGACGGTGATAGGCCACAGTTATGTTGCATATATCCTCATGGCACGACAGATATATGACGACATGGTGTTGCGGTCTTGTAGCGTCATCCACTTGACCTTGGGGATAATGTTCAGGTTAGCGGACGAGACTTAGCTGCTCCCTCAGCATGCGCCCATCCATACTCCCGCATATGTGGCATGATTTGATTAGAACAAAATAAGGCCCGGCTCCACCCCTTTAAAATCAGGGGGAGATGATTAGATTAGAAAGAAAGAAAAAAAGACAGCCGTAGGATAGAGTAGGAGCACGGATGGGAGCATGAGGAGGGAGCAGGCAAGCCGGATCCCGGGTTAGCCGCCCAAGCCCAAAATCCCGGACGAGACTTGCCTGCTTCCTCGACGTGTGCCCATCCGTACTCCCGCGTACGTGGCTTGATTTGATTGGAACAAAATAAGACCCGACCTCACCCCTTTAAAATCAAAGAAGAGATGATTAGATTAAAAAGAAAAAAAAACCGTAGAATAAAGTGGAAGCATGGAGAAGAAGCAGACAAGCCGGATCCCAAAATCTCATCATCTCCGCGTTTGGTTTCAACTGTAAGCAACTGTCGATGTAGCCTAGTGGGCAGCCCTGGCCAATCACCTTGGCCGCAACATACCCATTCCAGACGTGCGACAGCACTTTGAGGCGGAGCTGCACATGATAATACAAACCCCGGTGCTACAATCACGCACATACACTCATCCGGAAAATTGATTTTTCTAGCGGCGGCGGTAGGTAGCGGTGAAGCATCTTTCACACATGAGCTACATTGACATTCATGATAGCCTTAGAGCAATTCTAGCAGACCCTGCATCCGGTCGGCTTGTAAAACGCGTTTGCAGTTTGTGAAAAACTATTTTTACAGGTTGGCTCGGACGGTCGCAGATGCAGCCCCCCTCAAACGGACCCGTATAAAGAGATATTCGCGGAATATATTTTTTTACGGGTCGGCTTTTGCAGGGTCTACTCGGACACCGCCACGTCGACCCGCAAATAGAAAACGCCTAATTCTCACATTTGACATAGGTTCCCACAAATAAGTTCAAATTCAAACAACATAACACATTTTTGCGCGCAAATAAAAGTCAAGCTTAGTAGGACAAACGCAAAAGAGGGCCTTGCAAAAGTGACGCCCATGTCCGGCATCATCTTGGTCGATCTTCACTCTACGTCATCGAGTCCATCTTGAAGTTCATCGCCACCACCGAATCCACCTCCGGCGCTTGTTCCAACTCCCGCACCGAAATCATCGACATTGCCATCATATGGAGCAGAGAAAACATCTCCGGAATTGTAACACACACTGGCCCACGCAACTATTCTCCTCTTCAAGATTTCTCTCCTTGCCATATCATGCCATGTTTTGGTGAGATCGTCCATGTCATTGCGGTTCATTGACATGATCTTGTTCTCTTCGGCAAGCAACTTGGACATGGCTTTATTTTCAGCGGCGCGTGCTCTTCTCTCCTCAATGGCAGCTTTGCACAGCCATGACCGAAGATGCATACCTTCCGGCCATTTCGTCAAACACCTCGCTTGCGGGGGGAGAAACATCGTTGAGCGGCATCGCTGGGGCACCTCTTTCCGAAGCGGAGTGAGCGCATGAAGCATGAGGCTTCTTTGTAGCCGAAATCCTCTTCCTCTTGCCGCCGGCGGCCTTGGTGACCTTCTCCGCCGCCAGCCGAGATCGCGTAGCAGCGTTGGCGCCTGGGGCGCGGGCCTTCGCAGCGGGGGCTGTCGGATTCCTGCCCTGCACGACCACGTAGCCCTGCCGCTTGCGGGCAGGCGCGGCGTTAAGTTGGGCGACGGCGGGGTCAACATGGTCGGCGACGAGATCCGCCCGAGGGGAAGGAGTGTGTGCGACCTCGACGGTGATGGGGGACAGCAGGGAGTCATCCATGAAGGCGAAGGATGGTCGGGGAAGATGCACCAGAGCGTGCGGTGGCGGGGCAATGGTGGCGGAGGGTGGGGGAAGCGGGAACAGCCGCGCGAAAATGTCCCTCCCGCAAAATCTCGCCGCAGATAGGGGCTGAGCTCGGGTCGTCCTCCTAGCCCGTGAATTTAGAGGTTGGGGGAGGTGTTTTGCCGCGCCCCGTGAAATTATTTGCGGGTCAGGGCAAGATGCGGGGTCTGATTGGGCAGGTTTTCTCGCCCCGACTCGCACTTCGGTAGTTATTTTGCGGGCCGGGACGGGATGCGGGGTCTGCTAGAGTTGCTCTTAGGGTATCATACGAGAAATAAAGAGAAGTATAGCATGAGTAGAGAGTAAAGAGTAGAGAGAGATATGCAAGTGAATGTGTGTGATTGTGTCACCTATTTAACACGAGAGAGTAGAGAGAAGGCTGCGTTGCATGCATGCTATCTCTGTGTACAAAATATATATGTTTTATTTCGTTGTCGTATATTGATGTATTTCGAACCATCTCACCATTTTTATGGTTTATATCATGTTTCAATTTTACTTTATTTCATAGTGAAACTGCTTATTTCACAGATTTTGAAATTTAATATTTGTGATACTGCTTATTTCAATGCGTGAAACAAATATTTCTGAAACATAACTAGAATTAAAATATGATATTTGTGAAATTTTCTATTTAAAAATAATAATTTCATTCGTTTAGAAAACATGGTTCGCTCATTTAAAAAAGATAGACCACTTTAGGATAACCAATTTCACTATTTTTATAAAAGTATATTATTTCTAAAAAGCTAATGTCCCTCAGTTCAAAATACAGATTTCACTTAATTAAAAAATCACTAATTCTAGAAAACCTGATTTCACTCAATTTAAAAAATTGATTTTACTCATTTTGAAACGCAAAATACATTCATTTTATAAAGACATATTTCACTTGTTTAAATTCTGGTTCACTCATTTCAAAAGTAGATTTCACGCATTCCACAAAAAATATTTCACTTATTTAAATTAATTGATTTCACTCATTATAATGCAGATTTCACCCATTTAATAAAAAGAGATTTCTTTCATTTCAAAAGTTGATTTCTGGCATTTTAAAAAAAATATTTCACTTACTTTTTTTTATAAGATTCACTCATCTTAAAAAAGTGATTTCACCAAATTAAAAAAGGTTTAACTCATTAATAGAACATATTTCGCTCATTTTATAAATTTGATTTCCCTCATTTAAAAACATTGGTTTCCCTCATTTTAAATGCATATAACTCGTATTATAAAAGCATATCCACGCATTTCAAAAACTGATTTCACTCGTTTCAAAAAAGATTCCACTCTTTAAAAAAGATTTAACTCATTTTTAAAAATATTTAACTTGTTTTATAAAGATATTTCACTTATTTAAAAAAATGTTTCCACTCATTTAAAAAAACTGATTATACTCATTTTCAAAAAATTGATTTCACTCATTTTATAAAAAATATTTCACTTGTTTCAAAAACCGGTTTCACTCATTTCAAAAAGTGATTCACTTATAAAAAAGAAATTTTCAGTCCTTTGAAAAAAATGATTTCACTTGCTTCAAAATTTAGATTTCACTTACTTTATAAAAATGTATTTCACTCATTTCAAAACTGGTGTCACACGTTCCGAACTCTCATTTTAAAAAAATGATTTTGTTCATAAACAAAATATTCACTCATTCAAAAAACTAATTGCACTTACTTAAAAATGGATCTCACTCATTTCAAACAACTGATTTCACTCATTCTAATTGAAAGACATGTTTCAGTTACTAATTTCACTCATTTCAACCTCCTGCCCCGTCCCAGATCCCCG